ATATTATTTATTATGATCATTAGTAGAAACAAATATAAATTTTTAATATAAATGTTATTTTATTCTCGTTTTCTCTAAAAAAAGATATGTATTTTCATTACACTTATTTTATTAATAGCATACTAATACACATTACAATGCAACAATTATGTATATATTAAATTTATCATAGAAATACGTAAATTTTGTTGGCTATATATGATTATATGATTATATTAATTAATTTATTTGTTTATTTATTTGTACGTTTGATTATTAATCGCTGATTAGTAACATTTATGTGAGTGTATACATTAAGCTATGTTTACACAAATGATTGAGTAATTGTAGATTCGCATGTAATATAGTTGCAAGAACATATTGATTGAAAATTGAAAATTTTAATTTGAGAGTTTGAAAATTGATGACAGTTGTATACATTTTTGTTGTAATTTATATTTTAAACTTATCATATGTATGAAAATAAAACTTTTTTTTTATTTCAAATATTTCTGCAATATAGTATTATATACTATAATATAATATTGGTACAAATAAACTAATAATATAGTATTTTTGTAATCTGTAAATTATTTTTCTTACCTTTCAAAATTATTCTAATTTATAGCAAAATAATATTTATACTGCGTATAAACACGTACAAATATGTCATTGCACAAACGTGTAAATCATTGAAATATAAATGTAAAATATAATATGACTGAGTTACACAAAAATTTTTCATTTATCACGCTATTATATTATTTTATAGCTAAAAGATGCTTAAAAAGATTTCATTGTTATATGATCGAATGTAGAAGTTCTAGATACCATATATGTTCATGGCTAAAATAATTCTGATATACGAAACGGTAGAAGTAAACATTCATTTTATTCTTTAATATAAAATAGAAATATATAGTGAATGTATTAAAATTTGAACTATTAAAATTCTTATTATGCTAGAAACTACTCATGATATTCAACATATTTCTTTATTTATGTTACAATTAATACTTATAATTTAAAGTACTTAAATAAATAAATACTTTAACTACTACAAAAGTAGATCTTTATTCATTCGTCTCTTTTATTAATTTTTTGAAGAATATTATTTTTGATTCTACTTATAAATATTTTTATACTTCTTATTATATATTTAAAAGTTAAATTTAGTTAATAAAAGTAACAAAATTTAAATAGCACTGTATGTATTTTTCTATATTATATGATTCATAAAATAAATATTTTTTAACCTGATAAATATTATCTTTCATATAATTTACTAAATGGAAATTGTATCAAATCTTTTAAAATATATAATTTTATAGATTTTTGTAATTAAATTTTAGGTTAGAAACGAATGAAATAGACGTATTAAGTGATAGGCGTGAGTACGTATAGTACGTGTCGAATAGGTAGATTATTATGGTGATTAAGTAATTACAATGACTGCATGTATTATTATGACATAGATCATATACAAATCATCAAAATTTTGTTCACTATATCAGATAAAAATTTTAATTCAATATAATTGAAAATTAAAATAGGAGTTAATAATTATTATATCTAGATAGTTCAGTATATTTACTACTAGTAGACGTAATAGCATATTAATAAACTACAATAGTACAATGGTAAACAAATAAAATAATAATAATAAAATAAAAGAAATATCAACAATTATATGATTATGTTAACTTTAAATATATCATGAAGTCTCATATTCATTTAGTATCCATTTTATATTCATTCTTAATTCATTCTCTGACAGATTTCCAAATTAAATCATTGGATTTTTAACATTACGAAAAAGAAGTATTGTATTATATGACAAAAATCTGTAGTTAACCCCTTTTTGTACTCGTTCGTAGTAATAATTTTACAATAAATTTAGATCTTATATGTATCTATTTCACGACTTGTTTTTTGTTAGTAGTGACCTATATACTGTTTGAGTTCGTTAATATTGAAAGTTTCAGATTCGTAAAATCGATATTAACGAATTCGTGGAAAGTTCTGATTTCTAGAAATTTCCCGACTTTAGTTGAAATAAGCAATCCAATTTATTTTATCTTGGAAGATCTGACAAATCCATTCCGATGCTTTTTGTCGCGAGAAAATAGAAATTAAAAAATAAGAAATTTCATTGTTTCATCGAAGCGATGACTCGTTTGTTGTTCGACAGCCTCGAGAGTCGAGCAAAAACGGTTTTGTTCCCTCGCTTATTCGTATTCGCTGTGTTTATTTTACCGGCTTAAACTGACATGCGTTCGAGAAATGACGGTTTTTTGCATGGTCTACTTCGGAGAATTGGGCGGGATGACAAAATTAACTGTGATTGCACTTCATACATTGAATATAAATAGAAGTTGAAATACAACTGAATTATTAATATTCTACGGCTATCTTAAATAAATTCAGAAAGTCTTAAAAGCCTTTAATAAGATGTTTAGATTAAAACAGTGGTTTAGGAATAATATTATTCATTGGAATATGAAATTTCGACTCTTGGAGAGATTAAAAGATTGTAATATGTATAGTATACGAATGAAATTAAGTGAAAAGAATGATTTTGTCAATTTACTTTAAATAATAATTAAAATATTTTATTCGTCATTTTATTTATCAAATTTTATTTATTAAGCAAGGATGTAATCGAGTGGCATTATATGAAAAGTATATAGAACGTGAAAGAAATAACATTATTGATATATATAGTTATATAATATGTAATTAATTAATAAACTTGTTTATTTATATTATGTACAAATTATACAGAAAAATATGTGTATATAAATTAAGTAAAAATAAAAATATAATTAGGGAGCAATTTTTTATTTCGTTTGTAGAAGTTAAAATAAAACAAACAGGAAATCTATGTTTGACAGAACAGTTTCAATGGATTATTAATTTCCTTTAAAAGTTCACCGACTGTCAAGATCAAGTTCAGTCATCCTTGACCATTTTATTTTATAAGTGGAGCGTAAGATTACGTATGCAGGAATTTCTCTTGACTCACGGTACCTTCGCACCTGTACCCAATATACATATGCCTGTATTCGATAGTTAATGTCGAATTTATAAAACACAGGTTACTCGTTATCACAGTTAAAATATCACGTAAATAAATCCTCCAATAAGATATTAAATAATTATCCTTTTCGAGTTACATTTATATAACACATTGTTAGAATTTCTGTAATTTAAGCAGTTTAGTTCAATGTATCGTTAGAATTTTCTCTAATTTTTAAACATTATCTTTTAAACATATCTCTGATACTTTTAGAAATATGAAAGAAATGTTATTTACAAAATAATTCAACAACGCTATGATATAGTATCAATAGTAACTGTTTGATCGGTGGAGATATTTCGAAAAATTTCAAGATCAATTTTGCTTTTTAAATGTTACAGTTTTGTGTTCAATGGATGGTTAGATAATTTTAATATCATAACAAGATTATGTTCCCGAAGGTACTCGAAACGAAACTCGTTTATATCTATGTATAATAATTATTTATAAGAATTATCGAATTATTTCAAAATCAACTTTATAATACATAATACAATGATTGTTTCGTATTATTTGGTGATTGATTGGTTAATTTTTTCTGATACAATTTCTTACTCGTTACGTTTCATTTAGATATACAAAATTCACGAGAACAGTCAAAAATGTAAAGAGTAAATTTGATTAGTAAGAAATTAATGAGAGGTCATGCGAAAATAAAATTTCTATTCAATGAGTAAGAATATATGCTATATATTTGTGGAGAAATTTTGCACAAACATTGTATGCTAAATGGTATCCAAATTATCTCTTCGTATCTTTGTAATGCAATTTAATGTTGCATTGATGTAAAAGTATCAAAACTGTTTATTTTACTTGTTTATTTAATATCGAATTTGATCTCGTTCATGGCTGTAGATTATTGAAATAGTACAAAATTGTTATATTTATAAAAATTGTAGAAACACTCTAGACGCACAATGTTACTATTTCATCGTGTATAATATTGCTATACATATATTCTAATACTATGTACTAAGTTATATAACATATACTATATATTTTACATTATAGTATATACTATTATTATATAAGATATAAAGTATTTTATACAGTTTATTTTTTTTAGCTGCATATAATTTTTCTCACAAAATTAAAAGATGATTTTAAGAAAAAATACAGTAAAAGTAAAATACACAAGTTATACATACACAAGTAAATGCAAAAATAAATACAGTAAAGTAAACGTTTATAATATTTAATAATTAAAGAGATATTGAGAATATAAATACCATTTGAATAGTATAAATAAAGACGAGAAGATATACAGTCATTGAATAATCTACTATTGGCTTAAAATAGGTCACTGAAGTTATTATAAGATTAATAAATGAAGTTGATCGATTTTTAAACCTATTGGGTTTTCAGGTTTTATTCGAATAAACCAGTTACAAAGGATGTGATCGTTATAAAGTTGTAGAATCTGTTTCATATTATTCCTCGAATCATGTTGAAAATCTTTGTTTAGTCACGTGGAAACTTTAAACAAATGCACTATTTTAAACAAATTCCAGCAAACTTACATCAAGGAAAAGATATATCGAAGATAAACTGATTTTAACGTTTGCTTTAAATGTCTATTTTATATATAACAGAAAAGGAAACAATAATGATTTTCTATTTAAAAGTTTTTAATATTTCGTTTGGTTATCGGTAAACATTAAATGATATATTATAAATTAATTATTTCTCAGTAAATCAACACAAAATTATAAAATTCAATTTCTTCGTTTCTTAGTTCTTCGAGTAAAGTATTTACTAAAATTCGATAATTTTATTACCGATGACAGTGTTTTCTTTAAACATACATAATGACTTTTGTACAATTACTTTTTATTTTCAAAACAATTTGCAACTACAATTTGCTATAATCTAAATGATCTGAAAAGACTGTGAAGGGTTCTGTAATCTTGTTAATTTTATTTTTATTTTTACTTCTTTACAGGCTTACTAGACTCTATAACAAGTACAGCCAACAGTGCAGATTGTCCAGGAGTATGCGTACACGCATTTGCAACATTAATATGTTACGAAGTTCTCGAACACGTGCAGTGTCCTACTAGTATGAGGTGTTGCATCGAGGCGCCTATAAATAGTACTGGTACTTCTGAAAATGCTGCAAACGACGATGGCTCTACTTCGACCACTGCTACCACCGTTAAAACAACCACAACTACGAGCACAACAACGCCCTCTACGACTACCGCGCTCACTACTATGTCCTCTACAACATCTTCAAAGACAACTCCTGTATGTTCGCAAAATCGTACACTTTCTTTTCTTCTTTCAATAACGAACTATATTATATTTAGTATATCGTATAATAAATAAATACGTTTAATATAGAAACGAATAAACGTATGATATATATGTTTCATGATTAAAATTTCATCATTTTTGACATTATCCTTATTATAGTTATTGATAAATATATGAAGTAATAACGAAGAGATTGTTATTCTTTTAATATGGATTCAATGCGCGTTATAGTTGTTAAATAACAAAATTATCGTTGTATAAAAATTCATTCTTTAACACTTCCTTCACGAAAAATGAAGTTTAAAAATATAAATATATGCTTTACTTATTTTTCAGGAAAGTCAGAAGGAAACAGCGAATAAAACTTCAAGTATGTATTCTTAGCTATATATTAAAGGAAATAAGATAAAACGAGGTATTGACGTATATATATATATATTTTTCTTAATACGTGTAATTATAGAGATTAAAATTTTCGGAATAATTGACCTATAAGTAACAATCTCTTCTAATTTATGAATTTTGTATAATTACGATAATCTTCTAATTTTCTGTTTCCGTGATTAAAAGTATCGAAAAATTTCAAATCTCACGTTCGATGATTCAACAGTATTTACTACAACGTTATTTTTTGTAGCGAAAACATGCTCAGGAATTTGCATGGCAGAGAGAATTGCTGATTATTGCGATGCGGTATTGGTAATAGACATCCTTTGCAAACCAGGATATAAATGCTGCGTATCCAGAGATGCATTCGGAGACTCGCCTCCACCGGAACTGCTAGTCATAGACCGAACAAATTCCAGTCGCTTCGATGAGAAGACCGGTATGAATACAACGTATAAAGGTTCTACGTCTTCTACAACTACAAGACCAAACATGGTTACTTCTACAAGTGCATCTAGTACAACAGTATCGACGACAATCACAACGATGAAACAATCGACAACAACGATAAGACCAAAGATCTCGGTGAGGAAACCGTGTAAAGGTGAATGTGTCAGTGGTTTCTTTGCTCTTTTGTGCGATAAAGTGGATGGTGAAGCTGAATGTCCCGATGATGGATCTTGCTGCGTTATCGATGCTTTCTTGAAAACGGTAAGGAGATTGACAACTATACCAAACTATATCAAAGTCAATATTTTTTAACGCTAAATCTGTCGACCGATAATGCGTACATGTTACAGTTAAAGCTCGAAATAAGTCAATACTAGTTTTTATTAGTCAAAAGTAGTTTTAAGTAAGACCTTATGTAAATACTAGCTTAGTTAATTCTGGACTAATTAATTTTAGATTTAGCTGTTAGTTAAAAGTGATTGTTACAATCGTTACAAAAAGAATTACATTTTGAAACGGTAGCTGTGTAAAAGAAAGAAAAATCTTCATATTTCCAAATTTCATGAGGATATGCCATGTTGTAACACGTTGTAACAAGTAAAATATCGAATATGTTTGTTAAGCGTTCCTAGTTAAAAGCATATAGTTACTTGAGAACGGATTTTAAAATAATTCTAAATAGTCAAAACTTTTATCTAATTTCGAGTTTTTACAGTAAAAATATAAATACTATAATTTACATAGTATAATAAAAATAAATAAATATGCAGGATGTATTATTTAAGTTGAACATATAAATTATTTCAGTTGCTATTGATAATACTATGAAAAATAACTAGGGGAAATATAAATAGCTTAATGATTTTATTTAGTATAAGAAAGTTCTCTTAAAATCACCTTGAAAGTTATTTCAAGGTTATTATAATTTTTTGATGTATTAACTTCTATTTTTTATAATGTAAAATTTTTTTTAAGTGTAACCGTTATCGCGACGAGTTTAAAGGCTTGAACACTATGACCGTTAGATAACCTTGAACAGTATTAATACTATTTTTCCAACTCTCTTTAGTTATTTTTTCATACCTTGGATAGCAACGGAAATAATTTAGACGTTCAACTTAAATCGGACACTTTATATACCGAGTGTTCGATTTATTTGAAAGCATCTAAGTATGTCGAAAAATATAAATGATATATCATGGTCATACCTATTTTATTCTACGATGACCTTGAAACAAACCCCTTGAAGGTCACAATTACGCTTTTCAAACTGAAGTTACAGTCTTTTATTGTAAATTCTTACAACCAATATCGAATTGTTTTCAAAACTTTTTTTATTTCTTGTATGGACATTTTATATCTTAATAATGTAATTTCACGTACAAGTAAATAAATAGCTTTGAAAAGATTTTGACGTCGACAATAGGAATACATATTAAAAATGGTTTTTATCTGAAAATTTAAGCGTGATCTTCGCAAAGATTTTCAAGGTCAACGCAAAGTCAAAAAATATTTCCGTTACATTTCTCTCTTAATATCCAGATGTTTAGATAGCCCAAAGACACCGTATAATCGTGATCCTATTTTAACGAATTAATAGAAACATAAAATATTCATTTCGACAGCTTTGATACTTTTAATGTCGAAACGATGTTACATTTACGGCGTTGATGGTTCGATTAGGAAACAACAACAACGACGACGACACTTCGACCAAGCACGAGACCGCCACAATCAAAGTTACCAGCGTGTCCTGGATTTTGTATGTTAACCATTATGGCAGCCTTCTGTGAACGACCAAATGTAATAATAGCGAAGACTTCGACCTGTCAATCTGGATCTATTTGTTGTGACAGCACGAAAAGCTCGCCGCAGGTGATTCTATTTCTTTTTTTCGGTAGAACCCTTTCAATGGATCGATTAAGTTGAGACAAGTAGGATATTGGATAACCCATGAAAAAAAGAAAATTGAACTTAAACATTGACATATAGACAGTAAACGTAGTGACACCGTCTTCTCCGTATCAGACACCAAGGCCAAGGCCAAGGCCAACACCAAGACCATCAATCACTACTGTTTCTTTACCACCAGACCCACGCCCAGAATGTCCTGGATCGTGTATTGTCTCTTACTTATCATTCACCTGCTTCAGTAAGTATTCCTTCTTCCCATTTATTGCATGCTTTTATTTTAAAACTTAAAAGTAAAAAGCAAAAGGTTAGTCGAGTAAGATGTATTACCAATATCGTCATTTCTCTAAATATTCTATTCTCGTTTCTTTCAATATGTTTCACAAATGTTCTAATTTGATATATCTGTGTCTATACTGTATTCCAATACGTGACTCGTATAAGGGTAAAAATTACTCCATCACTTAATTGATTTTTGATCAAAGTATTTTCACCGAAGTAAATATAAATTTTGATGAAATTTAACACGTGTATAAGTGAACTACACCCTTGTTCTTACTAAGTATCACCTGACCTAGTCTAATCGTAATTTTACATAACGATACCTTGGAAAATGTGCAAGAAAAAAAATTCTCTATATCAACTTCGTAATCAATACGATCGTAAGATCGTAATACGTATCTAGAAAATAAACGTTTTATTGCTCTTTCAACTCAAACCCCGAGCATCGCAATCTTAGGAATTCACTGAAAGTTTATTTCCGTTTGATTCACAATGCAATATTTATTTTAATGGTGATACTTTTCCAATTATTCACCCATTATATATGTATATTAGTTCTTGATCGATGTGAAGTGTTTAGGGAAACATACAATAGCTAGAAGACGGTTGAAAACTGACGTATACGTATATTGTCATGCCATGTATGTATAAATAAAATTCGATGTATCGTATCAAAAGATTTTATTAATATCTTGGAAATTATTAAATTCCTGGTGTTGAAATTTAAAATTTAGAGTTCGTTCCCCC